ATGCCGATAATATTTTTTATTTCTGGTAATATTTTTATCTATCTATCTATCTATCTATCTATCTATCTATCTATCTATCTATCTCAGTATATATTAGTTTGGTTTGGTTTGTTTTATGAAATATCAACCTCAATGAGGATACGGTACATAGAAGAAGAAATATACAATTTAACATGCCTTTCACTAATTGTCTAATCAATGTATTTAAATTTCATTGTTTTTTTTTATTAAGACACTTAAAAAGAAACAAAAAACTTGACTGCACATTAGAGCAGGTCAGTTTTAGAAACCTGGTATTGCACTCAATTTCAAATTTGGGGTTTGCAATAATAAATAAAAATACAAAATATCCTTTTCCAAATTTTTACCGTTTTTTGATGAAATGAATTTATAATTAAGTTGAGGTTCAAAATCGTAGCCTGGGTATTTCATTCCGGTGATCAATGAAAGCCTTATTAGCACAGCCTTATCAAATTTTTAATTTACTGAATATTTACAAATTGTATATTGACAAGATGCAAGGCACAAGCACATTATTACTAAATCATTGCGCTATCAAATAAGATCTTCATTTACTTTAAATGGAAGTTATACTGAACAATTTAGCTATATTATGATGTAATATGCTATACAGTGCAGTATTTTTAGTATGAATTTCAATAAACAATGCAAATTTAAAACATTTTGTCTTATAATTTGTGCCCGACAATATTATGGTGTTATATACACTCTTGTCTACATTTTGGTTTTATTAATTATAAACTAACAACTGATTTAACAAATCTTATTCATTGAGTAGCCATTTTTGTAGTCTCTTATAATATTTTACAAAGATTTTACTAACCAAATACAGTAAAAAATGGCATATTTTGCTTGTGGTGATTCATAATTAGAATTCTAGTTTGAATATATTTTTCATTCGATGTATCTAACGCAAAAGATATCAACTTTATTTTGATTTATTCTTGAAATAGTAAAATTCTGAAGTCAGTTTCTAAACAATAACCTATGTCCTGGGTAAGACGTTAAACTACATCCACGTCCTGGGTAAGACGATAAACTACGTCCAGCAAGGCGTCTGATCTGGAGGTTTTAAGGTGCATGGAACCACCTCTTAATTGCTGGTGTTCCCAGGTCCATCCTGACCCGGTGTGGTAGCACCTGTTAGGGTCCCAGCTATGGGCAAATAGTTAACTATTACCTGCAATACATTTTTGAAAAAAAAATATTACTACTAATACAATTTTGAAGGGAAATTATTACCAGAAACAGGTTTTTTACAAAACGAAATATTACCAGCACTAAAAAATTTTATCGGCATTAAATAACCCATTGAGGTTGATATACCGTAAAACAAAATAAACCAAACCAAAACGAAGAATCACCTGCGGAAATTACATTTTTCTATACATTTTTAGATGGTATCTGAACTAGATGCTTAAAAATTTGTAAAAGCTATGAACATAATTTTTGATGTCAGTAATTATCAGATATAGCTCTATCTTTCACGCCGAATGCAATCTTGATTTTCCCAAAAAAGAAAAAAAAAATGAAACCTACCCTACTCACCATTTGATTAATAAACGATGAAAAAGAAATGTCCGAACGCTTGATAAAGTGAAGAAACCTGTTCTCATATAAATTCTATTCTTTATTCCCTGGGATACATCTGTTACTTTCGCAGGCTGATTTCCATTTGTCGAGACATAATACAGATCGAAATAAAAATTGGGGGGAATGCATTTCTCTGGAAAGTTCCGGGATGTTATGCCGCCATTGAATAGGGTCCTCAGTCCTTTCAACTACAGATTTAATTTCTGTTACTGAAGAGAAGGAAAACCTGCTTTTGATAATTAAGCCTTGAAGGTACATATGTGTTTTCAGGGATTTTGTTCCCGCCTTTTCGCATTTTCCTTTGCTACCTCATAAATTGGAATCCCACGTAATTCAATCTAGTTGTGCAAAAGAAAATACACCTACTAAAACTACAGGTGGCAATACAATATACGCTATACACTGGGCTGTTAAAGTGGTTAATATCGAGTGATAGGTGTTAGGAGACAATGCAGATGAGAAAAAAATGTGAAGGTTAATGAAATGCAAAAATGCCATTTCAATGACAGGCTGGCTGTTTATGCTTTATAACCACACAGTTTTCATGTCTTCAACATTGGCCATAACAATAAAAATGTCTATAATCGTTTCTACGATTCCTTATATAAAGGAACACATATTTCAACTACAGATTTAACTACTCTTACTGAAGAGAAGGAAAATCTGCTTTTGATAATTAAGCCTTAAAACTAATTGCTCAAAACTTGATAAAAGCAATGAATCTATTATTTGGGCAACTACTTACTGCCTCAAACTCCAGCTTTTTGCACTGAGGGCAATGTTCATTTTCTCAAACCCTTGAAAAAGTAACCTGCCGTAATGCAACATTCATGTGATTTTCTATTAATAATCAAGTGATTTTCTATTAATAATCAAGTGATTTTCT